TTCCAAGTTTCTCCTGGACTTTGGATCAACCGGCTAACAGGCAAGCAAACAATTGACACAGCGCTCCTGTTCCAACGCAGAAACTCACCTTACAAAAGATTATAAATCTGCCCACGTGTTTCCCATATTTAGGAATTAGCACTTGCTCTTGAATGTGCTCCTGTAAAACTTGAATAATCTTATCGCTGACATCCTTGTCCTGATATTTGACCACACCTCTCAGATCTTGGGCGGAGCAGATGTTTGTGAGAACCCGAATCGCCATTTTAGACACTATTTTGGTTCTTTTCAAGTTCACGTAGAAGTCCACAGGCACTATAAGTTTTTCCAGAATTGCAGAAACCAGATCATCCACGAAGGAAGAGCTTTCATCTGTGGGAGTGGTGTAATTTCTGATAGCGCCTACTTTAGTCAAAACTCTCATAACCGTAGCCAACGTGAAGAACCGCAGTGTCTTTACCCATTCTGCTTCTTGAGTCAAAATACTGGATAAACCTTTTCTGCCAATCTCTGAATTCAAGCTACCATCGTCAGAGATTGGCTGTCCATCATCCAAAGTTGTGTCTGTCTTCGTGAAAATATCATTTTCAGTGAATGATTTTTCAAGATATTCCGAATCCATAATTTCAGAAATCTGGTCTTGTGGATTTGATTCGTAAAATTCATGTCTTGAATTACTTCCAAATGCTGAATTTTCAGAAGGTGTGTCAGTTCCTTCATATTCCCGTCGTCGCTGTGCATAGTATTCTTTGAGAAGTATTTCAGCTCTTTCCAAACCATCAGCTTCATTTTTAGCATTCGATAGAAAATCGTTAAATTCATGGATCCGTGCAGTGGTCTGGACTATGTCTTCTGCAATGTCCTTGCTTGAGGTTTTGGACTCAAATGAGTCAGAACTTCTCTTTTGGCTCTGCATTTTGGCAAATGCTTGCTGTCTTTCTTCTGTCTTCTTTCGTATAACTTGGTATACTAATCTGTTGAAAAATCAGTCCTATATAAGCCTTTTCATGATGATGTCATGTGCATCAAAGGATTTTAATGGCTTTGATACTCACTCATTAGTGATGACATCACTCATTAGTGATGACATCACTGAGTGATGCCATGTGATGTCATCACAACATTAGTGATGTCAGAGACAGTGATGACATCATTGATGACATTAGTCATGACACAATCAATGATGTCATCACTGCATGTTGAGACAAAGCAAAACCAAAGGCTGAAACCAAGTAGGGCTGCACCAACGAATCGCCAAAAATCCATTATTAAAAGTGTTGGCAACAAATTTCATTATTGATTCGTTGTGTCGCACGATTATGCGTCTTGCACTGCGCTGCGGAGCGGTTTTGTTCACCTGCAATGCATTGTCAATGTTGACTGACTGAATAAAGTTTGAAAAAAAAAATAAAATCTCCGCAGCGCGAGTTGAACACAGCGAGGGGGAAGGCGGAAGCAGAGCAGAGGCAGTGTTTTCAAAGGAATTTAAGTAAATGTTACAAATGACTGACGCAGAGAAAACTGTCGACCGAAGTCCTACAAAGTGTGGGAGCACTTGACGCTTCACAAAGATAAAAACTGCACAACATGCAGCTTTGAAAAGTGCCGACATGACACGGAGCACCATGCTGATGAAAGTAACATGTGGCAGTCAAGGGAGCTCAGCAGCAGATACATGTCTCACTCCCAACTCGTGTTGGCAGTTGAGTCTCTATATAAAATATACCACGTCTGATCTGTTTCCTAGTGAGAAAACGCAACGTCAGTCTCTCTGGTAGCTGAAGCTGCTGCTTGTTTGCTGATTAATGACTGAATGCATGGAGCTTAAGTAGTGAGCGGGACAGGTGGAGTACATGAGCTTGATTGCAGAGTGAGATGTAGAGCAGAGAATGACAGGAGCTGAAAGAACTTGGCAGGGGCAAACAAAAACAAAAACTAACAGCCAGAGCAGGAGAGGGGGCAAAAACATGACACTAAAGCTGCATTATAAGGATGCATTCATACCAGCCCTGTTTAGACCACTTTAATTGAACACTAGTCCATTTGCCTAGAAAGGCTGGTTCGTTTGGGGAGGTGTGAATGTGCAATTGAACTCTGATGCGGACCATAAAAGAGAACTCTGGTCTACCTAAATACCTAGATCTTCGTTCGGTTGAAGTGAACTCTAGCGCAGTTCGAATGAACTGTGAATGCAAGCAGACCGGCAACCACTCCAGGGCCATCTCAGCTGCCTTGTGTGAAAAACAACATTCTCCATGGTCTTTTGCCTCATCTTCCGCTCATGCTGATTCCATTGTTGAAAAATGTTTGTTTGACACATGTGCCACAGACAAAACAGAAATCCTAAAATCGTTAAAATTTGACGCCACTCCATTTTTGTTTTTATTTCCAGATGTAAGTTTTACCCAGTGTCTTCTTCAGAGGTTTTCATGTTGTTTCCTTCAGTAGTTCTTAGTGCAGCACCACCACAGGTGGGGGACATGTTGGCTCGATTGACTGAGTGCAGTGTGAATGTGAACTGCACCAACTGTAAATGTAAAAAAAAAATTCTGAATCTTGGTCCCCAATCAAACCGAGTCTACCAGACTATCAGGTGTGAAAACGATCTGTTTTTGAAAGTTGAACTCTGAGATCTCCTCTTCTGTTTAAAGATGGTTTATCTTGTTTTACATAAATTGCTTCCTTCACCCCCCTCTCAAACCATCAGTCTTCTTGGTCCAAAATGGGAACAGCTTTTTCCTTTTGAGTACAAAATAATTTTTGTTTTATTACCGGAGATGCCTCTGAGTCCTGCTTGCACCATGGTTTTCAAGACAACCGCATCTATGAAGTAGAAAAAACTGGTTCTTAAGCACATCAGCTGTAAGGTCCCAGATACTGTCGACACTCTCCAGTTTTCCCATTGCCCTAATCGATCAGTGGATGATGCAGTAGCAATAGCCCTACACTACCCTCTGCAACACTTGGAAATCAGCAGAATATATGCCAGAATGCTCTTCTTGGACTACAGTTTGACTTTCAATACCAGCTGCACCCACAAACTGATAGAGAAGCTGACAGACCTCAGCGTCCCGCCTCCCACCTGTAACTGGATCCTGGACTTCCTGACAGATAGACAGCAGGTGGTGAGAATGGGTGTCTACTGAACTCACAGTCGGCACAGGATCCCCGCAGGGCTATTGCCTCAACCCTAAACTCTTTACCTGTACACTTATGACTGTGTCTCCACCCAGCACAACACCATCATTATTTAATATGCTGACACCACCACTATATTGGGGCTCATCGGGGAGGGGAATGAGTCAGGATACAGGACTCTGTTAAACAACAATATAACCTATGGAGAGAAAAACAATCTCATCCGCAATACAGACAAGACCAAAGAAATCATATTGGACTTCAGGAAGAACCCCCCCTCCCATTACAGCCCCTCATCATTAAATGGACTATGGTAGAGAGGGCTGACAGCCATAGATTCTTGGAATTGCAGGTTACATTGGACCTGAGCTGGTCTCTCAACACAGCCACAGTGAAGAAAAGCCCAGGAAAGGCTTTACATCATTAGGCCGCTCAGGAAAGAGGATCTGAACCAGCGCCCTCTCACCCACGCTTATATATGACTGATACAGAGTATCCTAACTGCAGACATCACGTCTGGTATTCTGGTATGGGAATACCACACAAGCAGAAAGGAAGGTCTAATGCATGCATCAGGACAGAAAGGAAGGTGCTGCAAAGAGTCATAAAGACTGTCGAGAGGATCACAGACAAAACTTTCTTCCATGGACTCAATGTATGTACAGTGCTGTCAAAAAAGAGCAGATAGAATCACCAAGGACTCACTCCAGCCTGCTCACTTTTTCTTATCAGACACAAAAAATGTTTGTGTAGCCTGAGACACAGTAGAGTGGATAACATCATCACCCATAGCACAAGGTTTTTTAGTAGTTTTTCCCTGCCACAGTCAGACTGATGGCAAAACAAAACTACTGATGAGGTGCAATAATAACCCTACACTATCTAACTTCACGTCATGTGACATGGGAAGGTGTACATATTACCTACTTTCTGTACAGTGTAGATTTAAACCACTTTATTCTTATTTTGTTTAAATTATTTATTGTTGTTTTAGTATTTTTGACTGAGAGAGCTCTGCACAAGAATTCCAATGAGCCTGGATTGTTGGTTTGTGCACAAATGGCAAATTAACTTTGTACCTTTTGTACCTTTGTTTTTTCATCATCTTTAGTCACCTTCCTCAAATAATATGTCATCTGTTTCAAATGAACCACCAGCTTCTGTTAATTATTTTTTTCCACACATCAGTTGAAGCATCACAGTTGACAAAGATTTAGCTGATCAGATTTAACTGATCAGATTTTCAGTTTCAGGGTCATGCAGCTGATATCAGACTTAGACATGAAGACTTGGTACAGAGGAGTTGAACTATCATCTCCACTTGTTTCTTGTTGTTCTGTTTGCATTTGTACCACTGCTCATGACACAAGCCTTACTGTGGGCTGGCTTAACATTTATTGACTGTGTGATACAATTCCATCACCTATAAAATGCTGCAGACTGTTTCAAAGAGCCTGCTGCTGCTGTGGACACAAGAGGAAATAAGGTAGGGCAGAAAATCTCTTTAAAATTTGAAGTTCTTTAAACTCAAATCAAAAGGAATGAAAAACAGTTTCCATACCACCATATCCATTTTATTTACCTGCTTCTCCTTTCCCAACATTCTTCCAAACCTTCATTTTTTTTCGGTGGCAAGATGGGGTAGAGGTAGGGCAGCTGACCTGGGACCAGAAAGTTGCGGCTCGACTCCCAGCCATTCCCGCATGTCTTGGTGTCTCTGAGCAAGACACCCAATCCCCAGTTGCTCCCTGGGTGCCTACTTAGCTGCTCACCTCTCCACATGTGTATCTCACGTGTGATGGGTTAAATCAGATAACAAATTTCACCATTGTATGGGAACATACAATGATGACAATCTCAAACTTCCCTTCCATTATATTGTTGAAAGGATTAGCACATTCTCGCCCATCTGTTGCTCTTGGGCCAAAATGGTTGACAAAGCCTCAGTCGTGGGTTTAATTGCACCGCTCGGGGTGGCTGTGTTGGAATAGCTCTGTTACATTCATTCTGAGATTTTGCTTTTGGAAAAATTTAATGCCTCTTTTTCTGGATGTAAATCTTTTTTTTTTTTTTTTTTTGGATGATTGTTTCCTGTGGTATGGGATGCTGTGCAGCTGGAAGGATTTTTACTGAAACTTTTTTAGTTTTGGACATTTGTTATGATGCATAACAAGGTGTTTAGTTTTTTTTACAACCGGGAGCAGCAGATGAACATCTCAAAATCTCAAATAATATCTCAGCTACCCCAAATCTCAAATGAGTTGAAAAGGAGGCGCCGTAAATGCATTCTCATCTTCTTGCCAGCTGTGCTTGAGTGCCTGACCACAGAGATCCTAGAAATGGCAGGAAACGTGACTCGTGACCGCAGAAGGACCAGGATCGTCCCCTGGCACCTAGAGCTGTCTGTCCGCAGCAATGAGGAGCTCGGCAGGCTGCTGGGAGGAGTGGCCATCGTTCTGGGAAGAGGTCTGCCCAGCATTCAGGAGTTCCTGCAGCCCAGAGGAACCGAAAAGTCAGCCGAGTCTGGGTGGACAGATAGGAATGCATCTGCAGCCAGTTTCTTCAGATCCGCTGTGGGACAGACATTTACAAGTGATCCTTCCTGTCTACAGCCATCAGTATCTATAACATATTTTAATGAAACAAGGATAACGAGTTACAACATTTAATTTCCCTTTGGGATTAATAAAGTATTTTTGAATTGAATTCAATTTTGACTCAAGGGCAACTGGAGGGCTAATATGTGGATTAAAAAAAAGAGATATCCTATAACACAGTTGTTCAGCTGCATGTTTTGTTTAGCTGTTAAATAATAAATTTGATATAATTCCTGTGATCAAAAAAATAGGTTGAAATACTCAATTTTTTAATTGTCATTTGCCAGTATGTTACGATAAAAGCCAAATAGTCAGAACATTCATGTTTAAAAAATATTTAATAAATTGATGAATGACTCTGTAGGCAATTTATACTAATAACACTATAATTTAATAAATACCAAATTAACATGCCATTAATAGACATTTATTTGATCAATAAAGATAGATATTGTTTGCCATCGATGCTGAAAGGGCAATATAGTTGTTTATTAGTCTGTACCACTGGCAAAACATCTCATAAACAGTGAATACATTTTCTGTGAACTTTCAGAAAGTAATCATTGAAAGTGGATGCCAAAATTAAATGGCCTTAAAAAGCATATAAATGATCAGAACTGGGCCAGTTTCCCAAATGCTGAGTTAAACTTTAGTGGGGTTGTGGCATGATGCAGGTGGCCCTCTTCCTGCCTCTGGAGGTATAGATGTCTGTGATGGTGAGGAGGCTGACTCCAACAGACTTTTGTGCAGCCTTCACCACTCTATGCAGAGCTTTCTTTTCTGCAGCTGTGCAGCCTCCATGCCACACGATGCTGAAGCACAATGCTCTTCACTTCACACCTGTAGAAGGAGGTGAGGACTGAGCTTCTCAGTCCAGCTTGCCTCAACCGCTTGAGGAAGTAGTCTCTGATGTGCTTTTCTGATCAGGCTGGTAGTATTGTTGCTCCAGCTGAGGTTGACATTGGTGCACACCCAAATATTTGTAATTGCAGACCACTTCCACTACAGATCCTCGTATGTTAGGGCCGGGGGGAGTGTGCTCTGTCTGAAATCAATGACCATCTCCTTTGTCTTCTTTAGTGTGATGTAAAGGTTGTTCTTCCTGCACCAGCTCTCCAAGTGTTCCACCTCCTGCCTGTAGCCAGACTTATCGTTGTTTGTGCTGCATCCCACCACCACTGTATATAGTCTGCTAACTTTACAATTTGATGGCCTGGCTGGGTAGATGTGCAGTCATATGTGAATCAGAATCAGTATAAGCTTTATTACCACTGTACCGAGATACCTCGAGAATATGTTCGTATAGTTATCCGAAAAATGGGCGGAGTGCACGTAGCTGCTGCTATGATAGTGTGGCCTCCTTTTAATCCTTTTCAGAATCCTTTTTTAGATAGAAAAGGGGAAAAAGCCACAAGGAGAGGATAGTGGCATTACCAAAAAAGATCTCTTCACACCTCAGGACACAATTTCAAGACATCAAAAAACTCTGTCAGCAAGCACATTTATGAACATGCTACACATGCATTTGACAGCAAGGTGATCCATGAAGCACTTACAGATAGACATTCAGACCAGTTACTGCAGAGCTCTTAGGAGCTGGGATGATGGTGGCAGTCTTCAGGCAGGTAGGAACAGTTGACAGGTTGAGGGAGGAGTTAAAAATATTGGCCAGCATCTCGCAGAACAGATAGGTACAGTCTTTCAGCACCCTCCTCGGGATGTTGTCTGGGCCAGCTGCTTTATGAGGATTATCCTCCTGAAGGTCCTCCATACTCTGCTGATGTCACGCTGAGGAATTCCTCTTCCAGTGGTGATGTTCTTTACCTCTCATAGATAAAGTATCAGTGAGGATAAATCACTTGCTTTTTTTTTTTTTTTTAAAAAAAAAAAAAAAAAAAAAAATTTTTTATTTCCACTGGAAGAAAAAAAAACTAAGCCGAAAAAATTGTTTTTTTTTTCGGTGAAAGTGATTTTTTTACAATATATTTTTTACATTTTGCATGTTTTTCTTTTCAAGGAGTGATTTTTATAAATTAACTTGAATAAATGAACCTGTTTTGTTCAGGGTCAAATTGACCTGTTGATTTAAAACCAAGACAAATGTCATGCGGATTTGTGTTGAAAATAAACTCTATTCAACCACAGGTCCAGAGGTCCACTGGTCCAGAGGACCAGGTTGAACTTTTTTGGATTTTTCTACCTGGATTATTGAGCATGTATCAGGATATCTATTCAACCACAGTTTTTAAACCAGAAATGTACAAAATAACAACAAAATAAGGGATAAACAACATGATTACATTACATGTGTGTCCGTGTCTCCGCAGTTCACAAATGTAATGTTGTGATAGCAAACAGTCAATTAGCATTTAAGCTAAACAAGAATTAGGATGTAAAAGTTGAAGTTTATGCATTAATCCTAATGTAATATGAGTGTTAGCGCAAGTTTTGTGTTGTCATCAGGTATAATCTGGTCCTATTTTTAGCCTGTTGCCAAAAATTTGTACCTCATATACAAAGAAAATACCTGTACAGTAAGTATCAAAAATTGATCCTACTAACCCGTTACAGTGATGCTATGCTGAAAATGCTGTCACATGTGCTAAGATCTCAACCAAACAGTTTGTTACAGACCATTAAAACGCACATTAAACTTGTTCCACGCAGAGAAATGTCACTGTTGTGTAATTTATGATATCATATTAACATTCCATTTATCCTCACACTGTCATGGGTTGAACAAACACTGTAGAAAGTGTCTGGGATTCAGTTTGTTTGTAGATTTCTTTGTTGTATTAAAATATAATAAAAAAAACTGATCTGTGAATCTTTCATCAATAGTTTCAAAGAGTAAGCCAAGCAAAGGTTGGAGGCACACAAACACAGGGTCATAAAAAAGTATACAGACAGTGAAATAGTTCAAACTGATCCAGATTGATAGGAAATGATTCAATAGAACAAAAATGGTTGCAGAAAATTAAAATCATTACAAAAATGAAGTTATTTAGTGTTTGTTCAGGTTAGATAGGGAGTGAAACTGTACTGTTGTTGTTGTTTTAATTTTTTTTTAAATTTAGTATAAACATACCTAATCTAAATCAATCTTTTGACCCTAATACAGACTCAGATTAAATTATATACTTATGTACGAAGGTAAAAACAGTCAATTTTTATAAATAACAGATAGTATTACTAGTTTCAGAGACACAGGGACTTGTTTTTGCATTAACATCTGACAACAATGGAGATTAAAAAATAGCCAATTATGAATTATTGTCTCCATTTCACGGGGCAGCTGTGGATGAGTGGTTAGATCAGTCATCCTCCAGTGCAAGAGTTGGAGGTTCGATTCCACCAGCAATCACATGCTGGTGTCCCTGGGCAAGACACTGAACCCCTCATTGCCTCCCATGTGTGTCCCATCGATGTGTGAATGTGATTTAAAAAGTACTGATTAATCTTTGTATAAATATATTAGAGTGCTTTACGAATGGGGAAAATGAGAGCATAGATTGCAGTGTAAAGTACTTTGAGTATATTGACTTGATAGAAAGGCACTATATAAGTACAGTCCATTCAATTTTTTTTATTTTTATTTATAAGGGTATGAACAAAAACATTACCTAGCCAATAAAGTTAATTGTTTAAAACAAATGCTGCATTTGTTGTATTTTGTTGCCCTTTTGCCTTTTTTATGGCTCAAGCATTTGTTTTCATCATCATGTTCATTGAAATTGATTATTAAATCATTAAAGAGAGTGGGATTTTATAGTATTTTCACTTATTCTCAAAATAAAATAATAAACACTGATGCAAGGAATAGAAAACAGTCATGGTTGTCATGGCTGAATC